TTAGTAATAAATAGCCTAATTTGTCAAATATACTGGATAAGTTATAAAATATGATGTTTTGCACAAGCGCTGAAGTGTTTTAGCATATAAGCAGAAAGTATTCAAAATGTACTCATAGTATTTTTTTTTAAAGTACTTGTACTCAAGTACATTTTACAGGAAAGTACTTTTACTGTACTTAAGTACATTTTTTAGATTGCACTTAAATTTGTACTTAAGTACTTTTTAAAAAGTACTTTAACAGCTCTGCATACATGTATACATACCTTCTCGAAAAACAGTCACAGAAACTGCATATTATCCCACCTCCTCTAAAGGCATATGATATCATCACAGGTAGGAATCAAAGTTATAAATAAGCCAGAACTCAGGTCGCAAAGCGTTGATATCGTGTCCAAAAAATTCTCTTTCTGACTTCAAAAGCTTTTATTCAGTGTCGTTTCGACATCACCTATTTTTTCCTACACCTGTCTCTCTTCTGTATTACCTTCCAACGAGTATGGAAAACTACCGAGAATTTACTGCAGCGACAGAAGTGAAACCCAGCGCAGGTTGGTGGCGCTCTACGGATATTATGAATATTAATGACTTTTACAATTAAGCGTTTAGGGAGTGCTCGTACTTTAATGAGTCTGGGCTTTGTCACACGAATTAAACATTAAAAATTTTACGGGGTGCCCACGACAGCTGGATCGGGCCGATCGCTCGACTCCGTCGCCTGAAACTGAAAACACTTTTGTTTTTTAGGCGACTGGGTTTCCCATCCGTAGTAGGCACCCCGTGTGAGGTAAATGCATTAACTCATAACAAGTTGTTGGCACTGCACGAGGAACACATTGTATCCACTTTGTCCTGCATGCACACAAGCACTCCCAATCGTTATATCAATTATAATATCATTTAGACTTGCTTTCGATTCTCGAGATGCACACACACACACACACACACACACACACACACACACACACACACACACACACACACACATATATATATATATATACACAAAGACACACGCCCGCGTGCACGCACGCACACACACACACACAAACACTCTCTCTCTCTCTCTCTCTCTCTCTCTCTCTCTCTCTCTCTCTCTCTCTCTCTCTCTCTCTCTGTGTGTGTGTGTGTGTGTGTGTGTGTGTGTGTGTGTGTGTGTGTGTGTGTGTGTGTGTGTGTGAGTGTGTGTGTGTGTATATATTTACATACATATATTATTAATATTAAACATCAAATCCAAAGTCTCAAAGTAAACATTTACTGACATGATGACTAATCCCACTGGAACCAAACTTTGTACATGTACATAATTTATACACAAAATCATCACTTTTTGTATGTCACAGGTTTCACAGGATAGGAATTTCAGCTAGATCTATGCCAAGTTTCCAAATCGATTTTGAACAATAACTGTTACCGAGGGATAATGAATGACCCGTTAAGACAGGAAACATCCTTATTATTGACTGCTCTTGATTACCAGACAATCGAATGAATACTTACTTTACTTTTACCTTTTCCTTCCTCTGGTATCCTTAAGATATCGAGGGAAGGTGCATGTTTCGGTCCTGTGCTAGGTGTGTAACGCCTGTGAAAGATATGTTGTTCCAGAACCTTTTTAACACCATCCAGTCAGGACTTTTTTAGCCTTCCTTTTTTTTCCTTTTTTTTTTCCTGCGCAATTTTATCGTCTGGCGCTTTTGTGTTTAATAATAACAACAAACTGTGCGACATTTTGGGTTTTGAAATTAGCTGTTGGTCTTAGAGTAAAAACACACACGAAAATGTTATACATAGGCCTATAAATAAATACATAAATAAATAAGTAAATACATAAAGAATGTTTCTTTACTCTTGTAAGGGGTTTTTTTTTTTTTGGTAGGTTACACATCTCAGTGTTGCCGTACCCCCAAATGGAGACGGCTACCAGAACTGGTTAGTAGTTAATTGTTTAAATCATGTTAGTCCTACGGTACATTCCTCAGCTCTTTTGAGTCACGAGATGGGCACCCTCTGTCCCGCTCCATAGTGGAGTCATCTTTACAGTGTCACCGAAGGTTCCGCAAGTGTGCACAAAGTCTCATACTATTGTGGAGACTTTGTCAGTATTAGTACCTAAACTACTGGACCAAGACGAGTTGGTAGGAGGGAGCAGATAGAGGTACAATTTTTGCTTGTATGGGAGTTGTGTTTTTGTGTTTGCATCTGTATGTTTCGTCTTTTCTTAATATATGTTCACTTGCGTTGATGATAGTCGGACATACCCTGTTTAGTATACAAGTACTTTTATTTCACGGATTGTTTTCAACAGGATTGATTATCGAAAATAATAAGTACCATGACTTAAAATTAAAAATTTTACGGGGTGCCCACTACAGCTGGATCGGGTTGACCTGTTTAACGACTCATCGTCCCGGGGCGAGTGGAGTCATCACAATACAATGAATCCACTTTACCCGCGGAAAGCCCTCCC